TTTGCGGACACCATTTCACGGTGCCTGGACCTTTGTACTGTGGTTTACTCGACGTTCGAGGTTGACGATGACTTGTGGGACAACTTCATCCGCGGCTACCAAGTCGACCCCGAATTTCGTGATAAGTACGCGAATTGCTCCTCCCAAAATCCGACGCCTTTGAGGGCTATTTGCTAGTCCACTCAAGGGGGAAGAATCTTATTTGCGTGCCAAGTGATCCACACTTGCGTAGGCAGCTTCTTGGCGAGTTCCACAACGCTCCCGCCACCGGACACTTTGGAGTCAATCGTACGATTGGCCGACTTCGCGAGCACTTTTGGCGGCCGGACCTTCTCGGTGACGTCACACGCTATTGCGAGTCATGCGAGGTTTGCTGACGTTGCAAATCCCACAACCATTGTTCGTACGGTGAGTTGCGACCATTACCGGTCCCCCTAGGACAACGGGAATCAATTGCCATGGACATCACCGAGCTGTTCCCTAAGCACAAGACCGGTGTGGATGAGATTCTCATGGTAGTCTATCGACTCACCAAGTTCATCATGTTTTGCCTTGCCTCTATCACGCCAAGGCACCGTAGTTGGTCGAGGTTCTTTACGCCAGTTAGATTCATACCAAGGGTTACCCGAAGCAAAACGTATGCGACCGCGACACTTGGTTCATGTCCCACTTTTGGTTGGCTCTCATCAAATGATGGGGCTCATCTCTCAAGCCGAGTTCGGCTCGCCACCCACAAACCGATTGGCAAACGGAGAGGGCGCATCAAACCGCACAGGTTCTTCTTCGCACTCTCATCCGTCCCGCCCAAAAGGATTCAGTTGAGTGGCCGCCGGACGTTGAGTTGGCTTACAACTTGTCCATTCATCCGACTATCAGGATGCCGCCCTTTGAGTTCGAGCATGGCTCGTCGGTCACATCCCCATTGTACCCTATCATCCCATGGACGACCGAGAGCACCTTATTTTCATTCGACGGATGCAAGAGTTCCTTCGAGTTGTAAAGGTACGCGACCAGATGTCAAAAACGCAGCAATGCATGAGCCGTCAGACCAATCGTCAACGTCTTCCTTGTCCGTTTCGCTCTAGCGACCTTGTTTGGGAATCCGTCATGGAATTCAGCCTCGAACAAGATATCTCTCACAAGCTCCTTCCGAAATGGATGGGGCCTTGGAGCATTGTAGCCCCCACTGGTGACGCACGCGAAGGGACCATCATTTGTCATTCAGGTGCCCGCCCACTTGCCCGTCCACGCGGTCTTTCATTGTTCAAAGTTGGCGTTTTTCATTTCGGCGGAATGCGACAACTTTCCCGGACGATGATCGCAAGACCGATCCTCCATGGACGGTTTTCATGAGGTTAGCGACACCAAGCGGACGGAGTACATAGTACACTTTTCCTATTGTAGCCACAAGATTGTCCATTGGTTGACCCGTGCGGAACTTCAGGCCATAGCCCCCGATGTCCTCACAAGTTACGAATGCAAACAGCAAGGCAAGTCGGCACCTTCGGCTCCACGCTGTACTCGCGTCCAGGTTCCACCATCGGATCGTCAGCTTCGCCCTCGACCCGGCTTGACTTCATAAGGAAGGGGGAGTGTTACATGCCGAGCCTGCACACGGGCCCCATTTAGGGGGCTCGACAGTTGTTGGGGACCCCCAGTCCGCACGCCTTCCGACATGCGCTCTGGAGGCCCACGGCCGACCTTAGGGCCGCAGGTTTTGATTTGAGGCAGCATTCATTTATTTATTTATTTGCTGTCCTATTTTTGTCTGTTCAGGTGTCTTTTCGGACTTGAAGTTCAGTACGTCCGAACAGACCCAGTCTGTTCGCACAAGGCCACGTTTTTGGCCCGGTACGGACATAGGCAGACCCTGTTGGGCCAGGTCCACTTTTGTCCGATAGCGGACACTCCTGCTGCATCAGCAGGGAGGGCCTGGATGTCCGGTAGGCACCCAGCCAGGCCGTTTTAGGCCTAGGACCAGAGGCACACAGAGGGCACACCCGTGAGGCCCAGTGCTACTTATACTGGGCCGCGCGAGGGCAGACACACAGTTCGAGTAGCTCACTTCTTGGGCAATACACTGCTGGAGCAGCATGACAGCGCTATGCTAGCGGTAGAGGTGTTGTGACGAACCACTTTCTGTAACGTGCGATTTTCTACGCGGTTGCAACGAGGGATCCTAAGCTGGGAAGATTGGGCCAATTATGGGAACTCGGGATCGGTGGAAAATTGCATCAGTACCCTTGCTTTTTCGTTTTTTTTGTCTCTTCTTGTCGGATGACTGGGGTCGGAACTGGGTGTGTCCTGGGACGGCCGGTTGAGAGATTGGTCGGATGGATGTCTGGCACGCCACCACGCGCGCGAATAATAAATATTGACGTCGTTCTTTCGTTTCGGTTTCAATCTTTTGGGCGCGGACACCGCGCGGGAAATTGCTTCGTTCTTTTGAACCTTTCCTTTTCGAATTTTGTCGAGCCCCCCCCCCGATGGCTATCGGGATTTTCGACTTTTCTTCTGGAATTTGTGTTTTTTGCTTTTTCGCATTAGATAAGAATTCAGTAATTAGGACTTTTCCTGCCGCACGGCGCCTTTTGTCTACACGCTTCTTCATGCGGCTGCAACGGTACTCTGATTAGTGGGCGCCCTTAATCGAATGTGTAACTGTAATTTTTGGCGGGCGCCATTGTAACTGTATCTTTCTTCTTGCACTCCGTCTCTCCCGCCCTCCCTTTGCTGAAATTTTCATAGGCCGCGGTTTGCATGCTCGATCGATGCGTGGAGAAGGGTTACATCCCCCACGTCGCGGCTCGATCATACAGAACGCAGGCACTCCCTCTCGAATCCTCACTCTAAGTCCTAGTAATTCCATGTTCTTCGTGCATGCATGCACACTATAAATTTCAGTTGCGCGATTAGTCAGCTCTCTTAACCCGTTGTTGGAAGCTCAGGGCTGCGCGATCAGGAAGGGTCGGCACACGAGCGAAGTAAGAGGTGAGTAGAGTAGGAGTTGGGCAATCCGACGGGCTGGTGCCAAACGCGCGGGATTGACGTGGGCCACGACGGACTGTGGGCACGGGCGAATCCAACGGGTGCAGGAGGACCAAGCGGGGTGACAACTTCGTGGGTTGGTGCGTGACGACGGACTGTCTGCATCGGAGAGAGAGAGAGAGGAGAAGAGAGTTGAGGTTGACGGACGTGGATTTGCTGTTTCTTTGTCTCTTCTC